ATTATGATAATTTTTTCTCCAGGGCCAGGTTTGGTTGAAGGACAAAGAAGCCACTCATTGCAAGCTGTGTGAAAAGGAATTTTCGCTTTCCAAAAGGAAGGTAAAACTTTAACAAAATTTCTTTCAATGTGTTTACAAGTATTATGTAATTATTATTACAAGTATGATGTAAATAATAATTATCTTTGAGATGTGGCACGAAATGTCAATGATCAGGTGAAAGCAGAGGTATTTTTGAGATATTTTTCTAATTCTTTGACACATACAATGCAGCTGGGACCTGATTTCAAAAGAAACAGTGTCATAGTGAAGTTTCACAGAGCAGCTCAGTTAAAAATTATTGAACTACTTTGTGGAATTGTTATCTCAAACTCTTATCAGCTCTGGCACACTTAGAATTTGACATATGTAGAAGTCTTTTTATGGCATTTTTTATATACTAGAGTAAGAAACTATGAGTTTGTAATTTTAAGGTGAAATGTGACATTAATTTCCATGCTTTATTAATGTGTGCAGGAAGTTTCCTTTACGTTTTTATGTTAAATCTCAATTAGCTACCAGAGGCATCCACTGCTTCAGATACCATTGCTCATGCTGCATTTTTCTACAGCAGAATACATCCTTAATCCAGAGTTTGAGTGAAATCTTCAGCACATACATGTATATATATATGAAAGTTAGAAAGACCACGTGTCTGTCTGTGGTGCAATCCTAGACAAACACCATTTGTGTAGGATTGCATCACAGTTTGGGATGCAGATCAATTATCTTTTGCAGACTGACTCCAAGAAGGAGTCAGGAATTATGTTTTGGATTGTGCTGTGTGTCTTGTTTGTAGGTATCCAATTATCAAGTACATTTCTGTTGTAAATTTATATTTTTAATCTTCTGCCTGTGATTTAGCATCACTGTAGAAACTGTGGGGAGATCTTCTGCAATGCCTGTTCTGACAATGAGCTGCCTCTGCCCTCTTCACCAAAGCCTGTCCGGGTCTGTGATTCCTGCCATGCAATACTGATACAGAGGTGCTCTTCTAACGTGCCATAAGATATTTATTCATTCTGCTGTTTAGCTCATCCTGTAAAAACCACCACACCAACTAAAGAATGTGCTACAGTATTTGCAGGCTTTGAGGTAAGCAGAGTGGAGTTGGAATTTCAAGGTACTGTGGATGAGTTACTTCTCTGCTTCCTCTTGAAACAAATGGAGACAATGGGACAAATGTAGAAAATGTAGAAAATGCACGTCTAAACAGAAAAGAACCCCAGAAGGTATGTTGGTCTACCAAATGGCTCAGCAGTTTTTTGGGAGGAAGCAGAGCAGTTTATACAGGACACTCAGTGTTAATGTGGATTGGATGAATATTTCAGTTGTTAAGATGATCTGGAGGAAGGTGATACTCTTACATGCTGATGTGCCACAAGTCCAGCCTAACCCAGTGCCTGTGGTAGGCTGTTGTGAAGCAAAACTGGTTTTAAATTGTCCTGGAAGAAAGTATGGCAATTAGCGCAGTGGTCTGAGAGGTCGTTGCCAGATGCCGTGCGTCCGTTGAGTTCTGTGCGTTAGCAGGGTTTGGTACAGCCCAGAGCACTGCCCTGGCAGCTCCTCTGTGCAGGGTTTGGTACAGCCCAGAGCACTGCCCTGGCAGCTCCTCTGTGCAGTGCCAGCTGTGAGGGCAGCTGTGCTCAGCCAGGGAACAAACAGTGCCTCGGGGCACTTCCTGAAGGAAGGTGTGTTCTGCTGAATGATTTTTTCACGTGAACTATTAATTTGATGTATCTGTGTTTCACTGAAAGAGAGCTGTTCAGCACAGGCCTCTTCTCTGACATTGTCTGTAACCTTGAACAAGCCTCTGTATCATTTTCATGCAAGTCATGCTCTCAAGCTTGGACGTGTAGTCACTGCACAGCTCTAGAAACCACCTGGAAAGACTGGGACTAAGCTCTGGAGATCACATCCTTGCTGTACTGCACAGGGAGGTTCTTCCTTGTTCTGTCACCATCTTTCTCAAACCTTCAGAGCTCGTTCCTAAACTTCATTTTTTTGCAGAGCACTTTTGAGCCCTTGTGAGTCTACCCACTCTTGTCACTGACGGTAATTGGAACATAAGATCCTTGTTCTTTCCATAGGCAAATAGAAATAATATCCTTTGATAAGCTGCCCTCACTTCCAGCTCACTGCACTGCACCCTCCTCCCCTTTAGCCACTCCTGGCCTGGGCTGCAGCCCTGGGCCCTCCACACTCCAGGATTACCAGCCCTGTAGTTCCTTCAGCCGTGGGCTTGGAGTAGCACTGCTGGCAGCAAAAGGGAGGCTGCAAACAGGTCTTTCAGCTGTCCTTGCACTTTGTTTAGCTTGGCTTTGTCTCTGAGGATAAGGATTTAGTGATATCCTAAAAGATAACATAGCTATTCTTTTTAACACCTCAATGTAGTTGCTTATGTAGCTTTTGTAAAGAAAAATGTTTTTTAAATGACCTGATGTAACTTTTTGTAAAATACAACACAAATACTTGTAAATCTGTAAATAACTTTTGGAAAAAAATAAATTTAAGTTATCTGAGAATAATGTCACTTAATTTAAATTTGCAATTCAGAGTATTTTACTTTATTGTGTTCAAGTTGCTCAGAAAGCCATTGCCTGTGCTGGGGAGTGGGTACCCTGCCAAAGGCACAATCAGGTGCTGCTCATGTGCTTCCTGAGAGTGTTTCCAGGTGGGCTTTTGTGGGGCAGGCACGGAGGCAGCAGGGTCTGATGTAGGATTGGTAGGATAAAGCTAATATGTATTGCTTTAATAAATAACTTGTGAAAAGGGATGCAGCTAAACAGAAAAAAAACTTAAAATAGGCAGCCTTTTAAAACAAGATTACAGTGCTTTTCCATAACGTGCAATGAATTAATTTGTTACTTAACTGCCATCTTTTCCTCCCCCTGTGCTGTCCTGTTTGCATAGGAAAAGTGTGTAACATTCAGATTGCTGTTACTGACTGCAGGTAAGACTTCTGCCTTGAACAAAATGAATGCTGGATGTTCCATATGGTTTCATTTCCCTTGGCATCAAACTATATACCTGGCCTGCTTTTAAGGTTTTTGGACACTGCTGTGACTAATGCTGCATTTCTGTCTTTCTGTAAAACCCTGCTCAATTCTAAATCCTTCTCACACAAAGAAGAGCCCAGGAAGAGCCGTGGGGTACCCACAAGAACCTGGAAGTGGAACAGGATCAGAGCAACATTTTATTCCTTTTGGGAAATGAAGCCACTTCTGCCTTGCTACTCTGGGGGCGTTGCTCGTGCTCCTCCCCGCGCAGGGCTCCGGCAGGGTCAGCGCCCGTGTTTGCTCCGCCTGCCCGGGGGCCAGGGGCGCCCCGGCCGCTCCCGGCGGTGCAGGGCCAGGGAACTGCCCCGGCCTGTGCGGGAGCGGGCACGGCTCTGCTCACGGCTCTGCCGTTCGAGGCTGCTGCTGGGAGCCGAGGCTCAGAGCTGAGCGCGCTCCCGCTGCGGGTGAAGGGACAGCAGGCACGAGGGACTCGTGTCCCGCACGGTGCAGTTGTGCCCCTGGGCTGAAGCGGGCAGACTGCAGATTGCCCAAAGCACAGCCAGGCCCGGGCGGTGTCGGCTCCTCCTCCCAGGATGGAGCCGCAGCTGTTCCCGCTGCCGAGCCGCAGCATTTTGCCCTCTGCTGTGGCCACGCTAACAGACTGCTGCAAGCGCACCTCTCCTCCACCTCACTCTAAGGTACTTGTCCTGCAAGTGAATTAACTCCGCTGCTACCACTGCCACTTGGGAAACACCTCAGCTTTGCTGGCAACAGCCCAAGAACGCCCTGATTCTGCAGAGCACAATGGTTCAAAGGGTTAAGAACTCATTTTCCCTCCCCTTCCTAGCCAACACTACTCTGGTGCTGGGAAAGCTTCCTGTGCCAGTTACCCTTTCCAGCTCTTCCACGCCCTTTGACACCCAGACAGTCTCTGGTGAAATAAACTCCATTCTCCTCTCTCCCACAAGAAGACATTTATTACAGATATAACACAGTACTAGCAAAACAGGTGACAGACTTGCAATACCCAAGATCACATTTGACATTTTAAGGGAGGCATTGAGGACAAAGCAGTTAATTTGGGAGATCACACTGGCTCAGAATAAATACCTTTTTCCATTACACATCAGGTATGTTAAGTGTCTTCAAACAATAAGTTTCTTACATATCTTACATGTCACAAATGCACAAAGTTTTATCAGCACGTTTGGGTTGTGTGTTCCTGAAAAAGTATTGGGCCTATAGATATTTTAGAGATCTTGGCTTCTAATGAGCTCCTATGTAGAATGGCTTGGCAAACTTTGAACAAATACAGACAAATCAGCTCTGTGCAGTGGAAAAAAAGCTGAACCATGTTTAAATACAGTAAATTCAAGAAAGAAAAGAAGTAACTTGCTTCCAAATCCCCCACTCTTCCTAAAAGCATGTTTGTGAAAGAAATACCAAGTAAAAAGCATCAAATGAACTCGTATTTGACTGTGGTAGCTAAAAGCTGTGCTAGTTTCAGTTAAACTTGCAGGTCACACGTGTGAAATGCAGGCTCTAAGCACTACAGGCAGGTGGAATAGCGTGGCTGCAGGGTAGTGTGGAGGCAGGAAGGGGGTGCTGCTCCTTTACAGCTGTGCATGTGCTGGGGGCGCTGGCAGCAGGTGAAGGCAGAGCAATGACTGAGCCTCCGCAGCTTTCTGCTGTGGTGCAGTTATTACACACAACTTACCAAAAGGGTTTAGGAAAGTAATTACCAAATAAACTAATCTATTCATCTACCCTTCTCCCCTTAAACAAGTGAATGTTTAAATTTGTTCACTAGACCAAGATTACATAGAACTGAAGCAGTGTTCATAGGAGTTACAGTACAACCACCTTTATGGAACCATAGTACAACATTTTAAACCGACTGTAGTCTCGAATATGTAATACATCCTTAGGAGTAACTAGTATAAAAAGTATCAACATCAGTGGTTTGAATATAAAAATTTATTTAAAGTCAGAGTATGCAACAAATAAAACCTACAGAAAACAGATTTTCCCATCACAATCTGTTGCTTACCAAATAATATTGTGAAAACACATTCCTTCAGTCATTATAAAGTTCTTAAAATACAAAAGAAATTAAATTTTGTAAGAAAGTCTAGTAGACCAGAGACTGTTTCTTCCAAGATGTTCTGCAGAAGCAAGGCTATCCTTCAATACATCCCACGCCATCCTCCTCCACCCATGCTGCCTTGCCCATAGTATCCTCCACTATTTCCACTGCCACGACCTGCAAACAATTGACACAAGGTCACGCACACATACCTTAAAAAAAGAAAAAAATGGGATGGGTAATACAGAACAACAGGTTGAAGGTGACAGCTTACACTAACAGCACTACTGCTCTTAAGCAGTGTGTGCTGCAGTAGCACAACGTGCCAAGCCCCCAGAGAGGGAGTTTCAGAAACCCAGAGTTCTCCCAGCCCGAAGGCCACCGCTCTTGCCCCCCGTGCGAATGAATGGCAGCCATTGACACACGCCCCGGACATGGCAAAGAGAACTGGTACTTACTGTATCCACCCAAGCCATCAGGAGTTCCGTATCCACCGCTGTAATTGCTACCCATTCCCATTCTACCGACAGAGCCGTAACCTTGATCTGCAAAGCCAAAAGTGCAACGTTACAAGCTTGGAACTCGTTAGACTTGGCAAGGCATCAACTAAATGTGCAATTGATGCGTACCCATTCCATCTCTGCCGTAGCCTCCCATTCCAGAGCCACCTCCAGCAGTAGAGTTCAGGAACAGTTCAATATACCGATGCTCTGAAGAAGCAAAAAGCCACAGTTTGTATTTTGTTTTCCAGAGCAGAAGCAGAAGCACAAAGCAACCCCCCACACCCCTTACAGGCAGCAGACAGAAGGCCACAAACAAGGGAGTTTGCAACGTGGAGAACTGTGAACACTTTAGGATGGAGCTGCTGCTCCCAGCCCTGCCAGAGCCTGGCCAAGTGGCAGGCAGGGAACACGACACTCACGCATGTGGTTCTTATCCTTGGACATGGCAGCTACTGCATCCTCATGTGTTACAAACTCCACATCTGCCTCTCCTGTAGCTCTTCCATCTGCTCCAATATCAATGTGAACTCTTATAGGGTTCAATGGTGAGAAAAACTAGGGAAAAAAAAACAAATTAAAAAAGCAATCATGTTACCGCAGAATTCAAGCCAGGTACTTTTTTCCATTTCCATGGTTAGTGTTGCACTACTTTAATTCAACATCATCCTACCACACAGATTTAACTACTCATTTCCCAAGCAGTACTTAGTGGTTGCAGGACATCCAACATCAGGTCAACCTATTGTTACTACAGAGCTCGGAGAGCTGCAGTTACAGAGCCTGAGGAGCTTTCTTTGAATGCAAAGATACAAACAACTCCTGCCCACACACACTGCTCTGAGCAACAGTTAAATGCAATGGCATCCTGGACAAGAAAATCATCAGTTGGTTTTCATTTGGCTCTGCTTTTCCAGATTCCTCAAAGCAAGGATGCATTCACAGAATTCAAGAGAAGCAGCCTGTCAACACACTGCTCTCCCTCACCGCCCCAGATCTAAGCCCGACTTTTGGCCCCTCTTGTCAGTCTTTACTCTAAATGGAACAATCAAACTGGCATAAGAAAATACACTGCACTTAAGTAAACAAGCAGAAGATAAAGAATGGAGCTCTGCATATATAATACATAGGTGCCACTGGCAAGACAGCCTCTCTCCAGTGATGTGCTACGTTTGAACCAGGCCTTGTATTCCAAGAAAACCTTTTTCCCAACAACACCACATCTGCACTGACACAAGAATGCATTCCCAAGATCCTGCAGATGCACCTGGACCTGCCACCCTGATCTCTTACGAGAGGGATGCAGCCCTCTCCAAGCCAACACAGCCTGCTCACCCTGGCCCCTCCTGAAGTGAAGTCTCAGGACAACAAACAAATATGCAAACTAAGCAATTTAAGTTTCTGTCACCTTCTGTCATTTTCATAAAATCAGGTAAGCTTAAAAAAATCCTAAAGGCCTTAAAATGAAGACACTGATTACAGCAACTGTCGGCTCTGCAATACACCTTTTGTGGAAACAAAAGAGCAGAGAGTGCAGGGATTAACGTTAAATATAGCTTTGCTGACTTCTCTGGTAATCCCACCTCAGACAGCAGCTTTACAAAAGCTCGTTAACTTTGTGCAGACGTAGCAGTGACTTGTTTGAGAAGGCTCCCCGAGTTTGGCCTGGGACAGAGAGGGACATGCACACTGCTGGCATGAGGAAGCCCTTTCCCCGTGGTACTTACGTTAGCAATATCGTTTTCCGTGGCTCGGAAAGGCAGCCCTCTCATGTGAACAAAATGACCGCCACCATGGAACCCCGACCCCGCATCTCCAGCTCCATAGCCATGTCCTCCCATGCCTATTGGAAAACCCAAACCAAAAAAACCCACACACCTCTAAGATCATGAAAAGCCAAAAGTCATCACTACTCTTTTTCTGAAAGCACTTAATTATACCAGTGAATGCACGGTGTTTACACTTCCCATGTATCAACCCAGACTAGAAGCCCTGCTAAGCAATCTGTTTACCTTTTCTTAGGATTCCCCAATCCCCTCCCCTTTTTAATCAGCCTTCTTTACCAAACAGCAGAACGAAGCTGTTATCTCTGTCTTGGAAACTCAAGTATCAGGAAAACCTTTTTAGACAAACTGAATTTCTTTTACCTCTCCCATCCCTCATCCTGTCGTCATAGCCGTCGTTTCCGTAGCCATAGTTATTATAGCCACCATAATCATCAAAGCCACCATATCCTGCGCAGCGGAGAGAAGGAAAGAGCCGTTACACTTCTGCTCACAGCTCGCACAGCAATCACACCCAACGCTCAGTTCTGCAGTCTCTGGGCACCCGGCTCTTTGCAAGCAGCCTCTGCAGACTGCCAAACCTGGATGTCTGAACACGGTGCCAAAGTCCATTTCTTTTTACATAACACAGACTGAAACATGCAAACGGACAAGATCAGATTCTAATGAAAAGTGTTCATCTTAAACACTCAGCCACGTGTTTTGATATATTACGAGGTTTTTTTTCAGATAAACACACCCAACCTAAGGGGCATTACAGCTACTACCATTTCTTATTTCTTGACAAGTATGTCAGAAACACGAAACTGCCAAGAGAACCTGTGTTCATTAGATGAACATACCACCGTCATATCCACCACCTCCTCGACGCATTCTGTCATACATACTTCCACGCCCAGCTCCATAATAACCCCCTCTTCCTCCTAATGGTCTATCATATGGTCCAGGTCGCTGTTGTCCCATCATTCTTCTTGGCATGTCAGAGAATCCTCTGATTTCGCTCTTACTACTTTTGAAGATTTCAATGTATCTAACAAAAGAGGATTTTCAAGGTACCAGTAAGAACACAGGCAGAAGCAGTCTGAATTGTACAAAAGGCCACACTACATTTTCTAGAGCTAAACGTACAAGCCAATAGCAGTGACTAGAAATACCATACAACTTAAGTTTCTCCTCAAAACTGTAAGAATCTTAAGTGTATTAAAAAACCCCCATTTAGAGTGGCAAAAATTACTATGTGAAAATTCTAGCTGTACAAATTAAAACATGTCTTAAAACATGTCTTTCCAGTATGAGAAACATACTGTTGAAAAACAATGGCTGTAGCAGCATTTATCACAAATTACCCTACACGAGCATGATTGAAACAGTTTTCTGAGTTTAGCAAACTACCCAGTGCAATTCTGTCTCCCCCACCCCCCAAATCTACTGTATTTGCCAAGTTAACTTAGGATCAGTTATAAAAATTCTTAAAAACAGCCAAATCCCCAATGGTCCCCAACCCCCCCAAAGCATTACTGACCCACAACCCCCAAAAAATAAAGATTTAACACCATCCCAAACTCTCCATCCCCACCTGTGCCCTATTCTTTCCTTGTGTTTCCCCAGAGCATTTTCTGCTATCTCCTTTGAAGCAAACTGCACGAAGGCCTCCCCTGTGCTTCTCCCCTGGTAGTCCAGCGTCAATGTTATCCCATTTGGCACGATTTCCAACCCTTTAACCCAAGGACAAATAACCCCGTCAAGGGGAAAAGTGTTAAAGGCTGAAACATTCCCATCTGTAGCAAATACTTAAAGCATATCTAAACAACAACAACGAAAAAGAAAACCACCTCGTTTCCCCCATCACCCAACAATACAAGCCCATGATCTTTTCATTAAACATTTATGGATTTAGCCGTAATTCTTTTCTGTTTAGACTATATAAAAATGCAACCACCTAAGTTACACGAAGAAAATATAGCTACCAATCAAGCAATTTAACTGATCCAAATGCTAACATTCAGGTTACCCCCATATGCAAGGTATGTTTCCCACCTCGACCAAATCAGGTACATTTTGTGTTCTACTATATCTATAGTTATCCGTGCTTCATTTACAGGGCACAAATTTTAATTAAGATAAACTAATTTATCACAATCCCTCCCCACCCACCCCATTAACATCTATTAAACACGTACAAAACATTGTGTAAAAGATACAAAAAAGCCTCTAAAGAAACCCACTGCACTTCGACTATACTGGAGGTACCTTGGAAAAACTGAACAATCTCTTCTTTGCTGCAACCAAACGGCAGGCCTCGGAGTCGTACCACTGTTCCGTCATTGGTTGTATCATTGGGCCCATTGTGCTTTCCGCTCCAGTCCATTTTTGTTTAATTTAAATCCTAAAAAAAAAACCCCAACAAAACAGAAATAAAACCCCCCCTGAGTTTCTGCCCATGCCTAAGTCCCGTCCCAAAAAAGAAATCTGTTAAGGTTTTGTTCATTGAGGTAACACGATGGATCATGAGCTTTATTTCTGTTCCGGATTTGAAGCCGGGCATCGAAGCACATGCCAGTGGGATCTTAACCCGCACCGAGGGGATTTAACCCCGCCGCTGGGGCTGCTGCTGGGAGCGCCGCGTGGACGGCGGGCAGCACGTGGGCAGGCTCGGCACAAAAAGCTCAGCCTTTACTCCGAGAACACTTCACATCCGCTCCGTAAAGCTTTGCGGCTTTGGTTTTTTTACGGCTGTTCTTTCCCTCGAAGCGTAGCAGTTGAGGAAGGGGCTGGTGCCACAAGGCCTTCCTTTGTCTGCCCTCAGCCGAGGGCGGCGGGGGCGTGTGCGGGGGGCACCGCCACCGTCCCACAGAGCGAGCCGCCATCGCCGCCGCCTCCCCAGGCGCGGAGCCATCGCGATCCCGCCTCCCGCCGTCCTCCCCAGACCGCGGCCCTGACCCCCCGCCTGCTCCCCGCCGCCATTTACCGCGCCTCCCCGGGGCGCCCGCCACTCGCCTGCCCCGCTCCCGCCGCGCCCCCCGCCGCGCCCCGCCGCCCACCTCTAGCCTCGGAGGTGCGGTGCTGCGCTGCGCCGCCCGGCCCGCGTCCCCTCACCGCCCCAGGACCCCCCGCCCGCCGCTCTCCCGGGGCCGCTGCCGCCGCCGCCCTCGACTCCACCGCTCAAAATGGCGGCCGCGATCGGGAACGAGGCTCCGCACCGCCTCCCCGCCGTCCGCACCCTTCGCCCGCCGAACCCCCCGGGCGGGCCCCGCCGCCGCTCGCCCGGCCCGCTCGCCCTCTCCGCTCACCGCGAGTCTCTCGCGCACCCCTGGCCGTGCCCCGGCAGCCGCTCGCGCCGGGCTGGACGCGCCTCCTCGCTCACTGCCGAGCCGTCCGGCGGGCCCACACCTGCGCAGCGCCCACGGGCAGCGGAGCGTCCGGGCCGCGCGACTATCGCGATACCCGCCCCGCGCGCCGCCTCACACCCGCCTGGGCGGCTCCCGCGCACGCGCGACTCACGCGGGGAGAGCGGGGGGGAGGGGAAGGGAGCGACGGCGCATGCGGGGTAGGGGAGGGGGCGTTCCGCCTTTGCCTCTCGCCGCCTCCTCTGCTGAGGGGCCGCCCGGGCGCGTGCGCGCTCCTCCCTCGGTCACGCGGCCCTCGCCGCTCGTTTTGGCGCCAAGCGGGAGCGCGCGCGGCCCGGCGCGGGCAGGGCTGCGCTCGTGCCCGGGCATCGCCTCACGGCGCCCTCGCCTCACGGCCGCGCTGCTGGCGGCGGCTCCGGCCGGTCGTGCTCCGGAGCTTGCGTCTCGCTCAGCGTGTCCCTCTCCCTCGGCGCAGCTTTGGGAGGGAGCGAGGATGAGGATGGTTGCCCGGTGTGGGCGCACGCCATGGCTGCTGCCCGCGTCTCCTCAGCAAAGCCGCCGAGCCGGGCAGGATCCCGCTTCCTTAAGCGCGGGGCACACCCGGCCGGGCGCTGTGGTGAAAGGGCGAGCTGAGGCGTTCGGGGGCTGGTGGCGAGGGAGGTTAAAATGCGTGTTTTAATTTAAAAAAAAAAAAAAAAAAAAAAATCCCTGCGGAACGCCAGGGGCGTAGGAAGGAGTCTCAATCGCTGTCGGCGCTGGGAAGTGACGGGATGGGGCCGCTGGCTCCGCCTGCCGCCGCAGAGCGATAACTTGGAGCTGTGCTGCCGGCCTGCGTGAGGCGGGCCGGGGAGTGCCTGGCAGGGCGCAGCTTGCGGCTGCACGGGCGCACACCACAATGCAGGTTCCAGTCTTTACGGTTGATGCGTTTACAAACCGGCCGTTTTCTGGAAATCCTGCCGCAGTTTGTCTGCTTGAAAATGTAAGTTAAAACCCAGCTGGTTTTTGAGGTACTGCAATGACTTTTGCCGTTCTGTGCTTGGCCTGAGCGCTCAGCACTGCATTAGACTTTACTTTCTTTACTCGAGACTTCTGTTTTCCAGACTTGTTTGCTGTGGCATAAGAATACAGAGAAATTAGAACAGGGGTGCTCTTTTTTTTTTTTTTTCATCAAAATGATGTCATGCAAGACAACATTAGAATTTTTTGTGGGCTGTTAAAAATATTTTATTAAGGAACAGACTGGATTTATTTTGAGTTAAGAAAAATGGCTTAATTTCTTCAAGAATAATTCAGAATAACAGTTTTGAAGAATGAAGAAGGATTCAGAATGAACTCTGAAAAGTAATGCTGTAAAACTGAATCAGTGGTCAGTAGAAGGATTAAACAGTGGGGTTTGATTTTGGTGTGGGTTTTCTCCCTTTTTTTCTTGAATTTTTGCTCTTTCTTGGGACAGAAGAAGAGTAGGTACAGACCTCAGTGTGAATCTTTCACCATTAGTGTGTTGGGTTCAGCTTTAGCCAATTCAATGCTGCATGGTAGTTTTGGTGCAGTTGACAGTACTGGCCTTGTATTTTTTGTATACTAACTCCTGGTAAAAATTGTAAATATGAACATATATGTAGGGTAGCCAGTGGCAACAGCTTGTAATGCCAGTATGAATCCTTTCTAGAGTTTCCTAAATCTGTCTAAATCTCATAGCATTGCCTACTTACCAGGTCAGCCAAAGGTATGACTGGGAACATCTCCCTTCAGACTTATTTTTGGCCACATAAAATATACTCTCAAAGTGATATCTGCATTAAAATTATGAGCTTCCAATTGCATTTTTTAATATTAATTTTACTTTATTACATCAAGATACTGTGAAGCCACCTTACTTGCATGATGACTTTGGGGAATGCAAACATTTAAATTTTTTCTACAGTTCCTGGGAGTAAAGGCTTTAGTGTGACAGCTAAAGCCGAGCTCCTAATTCAGCATTTTATGCTAAGATTGAAGAAAGTGTGATGCAGCCATGCCAAACAGCTGCTCTCTGCTCCCTCCAGAGTCTCAGCAGATGCTTTACAGAAAAAATCAGAGAAATGCAAGAATGGCAAAACCAGTCCTCTCTGTTTCAGAGGTGCCACAGGATGGCAGTATTTCAATAAAGTTCCAAGTTATTTAAAAAAAAAAAAAGTTATTTTAATAACGTTTTTACTGGTCTTTGTTCTGGTCTAGGATCTTTACAGAGATTGACAGAACTCTTTCTGGGATAAAGGGAGTGTAACTGCCCTGTAAAATGTTAGAAAGTTGTTTAACTGTACAGAATTCAGTCTGCAAGTGCAGCTCTGGTGTTATCAGTTATTGGCTTGTAGCTGTAGTATGGGATCATTGGCTGAAAAGGGTTAGTTATTGAAGGAAGTAACTCAAGTTTAAAGGGCACATTTTTATCTCTCAGAGGCTGAACCTGAGCAGGTCCCTTTGGTGCTTTGTTTCGCTTGGGTTTCAGCATTTTAAAGATTAGATTCTCAAACCCGGCCAGTCAGCGTAAGGGCGGGGAAAGAGCAGGGGAACGTGTGCCGAGGAGAATGTTATGGAATCCCTGGGGCCTGGCTACCCTGGGCTCAGTGTCCACTGCCTTGAATCACAGGCACTTACTCAGCTCCAGCATTTCCTTTTTTTTTTTTTTTTGCCAGTTTGTCTCTTCTCAGCTCCTGCCAAGGGAGTGTATTGTCCCACTTAAAGGTTTTTTTACTCTCAGAGATTATTTTGAATTAAAACCGAGTCTATGTTTTATTATAATAGAAAATTAAATGTCTGTATTTGACAGAAAGTTTGATTCTGCATTTTTTGGTCTGTTCTTGACTGGATTTGTTATGTCATCCCTAGGACCTGGATGAAGATTTGCACCAAAAAATTGCAACAGAAATGAATCTTTCAGAAACAGCTTTCATCAGAAAACTGAAACCTGGAGACGACTTCACCAAAAGTTAGTGGTTCTGCTTAAAAGAAAACATCAGACAAATGCAGAATTCATTCAGACTCACTCTGTGGATTAATTTTCAGCTGAATCAGTTTGCTGAATCTGCTCACTTGGCAGTTGTGTGCTGGTGCGAGCCAAGGGGCTCGTCCTGTACTCTGGACTTGGATTCCAGGTTAAGGAGTCACCTTTATCATCTTTGCTGTTTGATGGATTGTTCAGGGAGCAGGATTTTATACAGTCTCTGTAATTAAAAATATTAAGGATAGTAGTAATTATAATTACTTGCTCCTGTTAATAAATTGGAATTTATTTTAGGGTTAGACTAATTGCTTGGAGCAAGAAGTTACAGTACTTTTCATTTTTCATGTTAGCACTTTGCCAATACATTGAACACGCTTATTTTCAAGTCATCCATATCTAGCAGCATACAAAATGCCAGCTTCTTTATCACTGTAGTGCTTTTGGTGCTAATGAGCTGGTTTGTGGCCTCAGACCCACACATCTGCTCAAGAGGTGCACAGCTCTTCCAAAGGAATTTGGTCACTCAGCTACTCCTGAGACTGTGTGTGCTGAGGGGTGGTGGGAGTGAGGCAGGAACATCGCAATGTCATTTATCATCTGCTTCTGGAACATGAATTGGTCTGCTGAGGGCTTCTGAACACAGCGTATGTTTCTGCAGGACTTCATGCTCACTATGCTTAATTTAATGTTAATTAAAGAAAACCAAACCAATCAACTAGGGTATTTTAGGGACATGTGAATTTATAGAAGTGCTTAATGTCGTCTCAGTCCAAGTCCACAGCTGTGTGTCTGGAGTGTCCAGGCAGCTGTTCTGGGTCACGTTTGTCTCCACTCTGGCCTGTGCATGACTCCTCCGTGTCCTGCTCCCACTTGGTGCAGTTCCCACTTGGAGCAGTGCATGAGCAGCATGGAGCAGGCTCACAGCTGGGCTGGGCCAGCTCTCACAGCACTCCACTGCTGGGACCATTGGGCTCCACCACAGGGTTTTATCTGGGTTCTGTTTGTTTTTATTGGAGGGGACTGACATTACTGCACGAACTTTCCATAGTAGCGATGACAAGACTGGTTTGGATTTTAAAAACATTACTTTTATTTTCCACTTCTAGTTGTGTTTGTATGGTAATTATTCACTTGAAATGCATGTGCAAAAGTTAAAGGAAACCAAGTATCATACATGTATGTTCCAAATTTTTTAAACAGCAAATAGAAATATGATTTCTAGTGAAATGGTTAGTAGACATTAGAGGCTTTTACCAGACTTAACTGCTGGTTTAAGCAAAATTATTCATAACTGAGCTAACTCTGGTACAGGTTCTGTTCTACCAACAAAACCAACTATGGCCTCTAAACGGTAGCCTGGCCTGCAGGTGATACAGACCATGGCTATGCCTCTGCAGGATTTCATAATACACAGGGACATGGAGGCTTTATCTTCTAGATAACACCTGTTTGGGACAAAGGAAAATCTGTGCAGCATGCCAAGGTTGTTGATCTGGTTCAAAAGGGATAGCTGTTTTGAAAAATCAGCGTGAAATGGGTACCTAGAAGTGTGTTAAGGACCACAACAGATTGTAACATGCATTTTGATTAACTGAAACATCATCACTCCATATATATTGAGATAAAATGAAGATATAGACTTCTTCCACTTAATAGCACTAAATAAAGTTTATTTTTTCAAGGTTCCTGCTTTGGGCTCAGATGGTTCACCCCAGCCAGTGAAGTTCCTCTCTGTGGTCATGCTACCCTTGCATCAGCTGCTGTGTTATTTCATGTACAAAGTAGGTTTACAACCTCTGTATTACTATAGTTTTTTAGAACATTTACTTCTAATTAACATCTCTGTTTTTTAAAGACAAAGGCAATTAAACATTCAGAACATCTGTAGAACACAAATGGAGATTACCCTGGGTATTGCCTTTTACTTGTGCTCTGTAGTTACAAGGCTGTAGTCTGATGTCTACCCTCTGATTCCCATGTCCTGCTATTACTCTGGTTTAAGAAAAGTGCTAAATATGCAAATGTCATCTGGGAGAGGTATAGCAGGATTTGATGCATAGGGAATATTGCTCTTTCTGTTAAAAGGACATTCCCATTCATTCTAGGCAAATGCAGGAATGATTCCCTGACAATTGCTGTGTTTATTAGCCTCAGCAGATTTATTGAGTTAATT